TTCCGCCGTTCAAAAAGAGTTGGCGTGCGCGCGCTCGCTTTGATCCTGTTTTCTCACTCTTTTCTCCTCTCCTCCTGTTTCCGTGGCGTTGAGCGCCACTTTTGCGCCCTTTGAGCAGTACAATCAGCCTGATCTGATGAATCTCAAGTACATCATCATCATCGTAAAGTAATACGCCAGCAGGGCCCGTTCTTTGGACGATTCGGACAAGCCTTGACTCTACTTGCCATTATCCTTAAGAACTGTAAGTACCAGCATAAACACTCCCTCATTAGTAGTCGTTGCCATCACAGGGGCGCCTCCTAACCATAACCACACGGTAAAACCTGAGGAAGACAGGTGTCTTCCATTAGAATTGTGTATGTATCTAGTGCCCGTGCACGTACGGGGCCTCGAGGATGAGACGGCAGGCAGGCAGGCGGGCAGGAATCTTGCCAGTTGGAAGCGTGCGTATGATTCTTTCCGGTGCGAATATCGATATGAAAAATAAGGGAAATGAGGCAGGTGTGGTTAGGTTGGGAACATTGATTAATTAGTTTATTTATTACAAACAAACCAAGTGCTCTGGTCAACTCCCTTGCTCTACCACAAATATCTCGAATCTTAACTATAGTACTGTGAGCACCAGGCATCTCTTTAATGCAAATTGAGGATTAACAAGTATAGCAGGTGTGTTAGTAGATAAACTAACGGTGGGCATTCAACTGCTACTGCTCCTAGGTTTTGTTGTGGAGCAGAGCAGGTAAGGTGGGCAAGAGAAGACCCCGGGACAGACGTGTGGCTGACCTGGCACTAGTTAAAGCAGCTAAGCTAATTAGCACTAGTGGTTCAAACGGCTAGCTAATAACTCTCTATATCTCTCTCTCTCTATTGTGATATGACCGTTGTGTAACGGCTAGCTAGGTCCAAGAACGGGTCAACGATCTCTCTGAAACCGTAGGCGAGAGAGAGAGAGGGAGAGATTCGAAAGCGGTCAGGCAGAAGCAAACGGCAGAGGCAGGAATCAGGCCATCCATGATGCATGCCCAGTTTCAGCTCCCTCCCTCCCTCAAATCTCTATATCTCTCTCTCTTTTCTTGCACTACCTACATATAGATGTACTACCTCTCTATCAGTTTACAGGGCGTGCGTGTACCTCTAGGTCGTCTATTTGACCAACCTAATACAAGTCATATATTATAAAATATATATTAATATAAACTCCAGATGTTCTATTTTCAAAAGATATAATTTTTGTGTTATATAGTTTATATTAGGATGGTCAAATCGGCAAACTAGGTATACGCGTAGGACTTGTAAACTGAGACGGAGGGAGTAGGTGATTAATTAAGATACTACCGGTAGTAGTACAAAGGAGAGGCTAATCAAGGGCCAAATTTGACGGTGTTATTATGCGTTGGTAACCGTGCTGGCTGCAACGGTAACAAAAAAAAAAGGGACAGACAGGGAGTGGATGCCGGCAAGGCCCTTTTGTCGTTAGCTTGCCGCTTGTGCGGGACGCAGGCGCACCCGCTGCCAATCATGGCTGGCACTTGAGTTGAGATTTCTCCCATTTCATTTCACCTTGAGGGAAGGATGGAGGGGCACCGGAGGGAGCATCAATCAAAGAGAAAACAGGGAGTGATGGAGCACCATACCCACGCCACGGTGCGCCGAGGGTGCAATTGTCCCTCTCTGCCTGCTCGGGTCTCCTCGTTTCCAAGTTTTTTTTTTAAAAAAAAACCTTGAAGTGATATGTGCATGTGCAAGATGTAAATTATCTCATCGGATGGCTATTGCGCCTGCAAGATTCCATCAACAATATATGTGTAAATTCCACTTGTGTTTTCTTGTTTTTTTTCCTTAGGGTCGTGCATATGTAGGAGAGGGACATGCATGAGCCCATGCCGGCCTAGTTAAGCTAGGATATATGCGCGTCAATGTTTGTGTGTTGGTGTGATGTGATGCCATACTATGCTACGCCAACTTGCCAACATCATTACCATTTTCCTATCTACACTGCGCTAATGGTATGTAGGTCATCCCTCCGAGCCTGAGGTGAGCCCAGCCCACACATAATCATACATTGATACTCACAATTTGCTAGGCTTGACGGTGACATGCGTGGGCATGGCTAGAGATAAGACCTGCGCTGCAGGCCGCTTAGGTTTTCTACGGAGACTTCTTGTCTTGTGTCCAAGCCGTTTTTTCAACGTGTTGGGTTAATATTGGATGGGATACATGCATCATGCATATAATACCCCAAAGAGGGAGGGATTCGAATATACCTACCTAAAGCCAATACAAATACATGGGAAATTATGCATAGCAAAGTTGAGTTGCACGTGCTACTTTATTTACACAAGCTACACGTACGCAACCCTCAACTGAATTCCACCCTAATTCTCCCATAGTTGAACAGTGAAATCATGGAAACAAGATTCAAAAAAAATGAATTTCAATTCCGATGCTTTTAAAAGACAAAATTTAAGCACCAACTTTTTTTTTCCCGCTCATGACACAGTCCTTGTCCTTTTTCCCCAGATCATCTACATGTATACATGTGTATGTAACCTTTTGCGAGGTTTTTTCTTTTTACATAAAAAAAGCATCATCCGATTTGAATATCCACATTCTACCGTGATAACTTATTTTTCAACGAGATGATTAAGTATACACATACGACTTTGCCTAAGGATAAGTCTCCCCAGAAAAGACTTGTCTCTTTTTACGTAAACCAACCGTCCACACAAGTCTGTGCAAACATCGACAACCAAAAATAAGGAAAATCATGCAAAATTATTTAATCTCGACAAACTAAAATATGAACATTTGGACATAGAGCTTACGTCCTGCTGCCCATAGGGCTTGTAGTTTAGTCTTTGTAAACACATCATCATGGAGTTCAAAGTCCAACCAGCCATCAACAACAACAATAATTAATCAATTGAATTTAATCGAGTTATTGGGTAGGGGAAAAGTCGCACTTCTAGACACCACCCAACATGCGATTAGTCTTCTCGAATACGTCCCATAAAATTGTCTCCTTCACGCTTAGATGATTCAATGGTTTTATCATTAGGAAATGCATGGATAACCACTCTCACTTGCAACAGGCCATAGCATAAGCTTCTTGACTGTGGACTTGGGCAAAAGAGATGTGATTATCAAAGAAAAATATGTGTGTGATGACATGATAATGACCAGGTCTAGATGCTTTTTCAACCTCAAAGTTGCATGTGTAAAGGAGTCAGCTCATCTAGATACAACCAAAGAAACAACATTTCAAAAGTGTTATACGAATTCAAGAAAGCAATAAATGCGAGAAGAACAATTGATAAATAACCGCACATAATCGTCGTTTGGCGTATGAAAGCGGGCTTAGCGAAAAAATACTTGACTTGTTTGTGCTCCCTCTGGTGTAATTTTCTCCGTGTCTTTTTGCTCTCGGGTCCGTGTTAAACGTCACCTCTTATCATAATTGACACAACTTGAACACTAATGACACCATCACTGTATCTGAGTTGACAAATACCATGGACAAGAAGAGAAATAACAGTACAAAAGCACATCATTATTCATTTAAGCTAATCACAATTAATACGACTTGATGTGTACGTCGAGACTGCTGGACATGGACAGCTCCATGGACCTCCATATACGTCTGCCTCTTGACCTACCATCACCATTTATTACCCCTTTATTTTCCATGTTGTTCTTGACGGCTCCATATATATTTTTCTATAAAATCGCTGCAATTTGTTATTTTGCAGCTCTTTTATCCGACTTTGTCGATTAGGGTGAGCCCTCCATTGACTTTTTCATGACAGTTAGTTGATGAGGCAGAGATATTCTTAGGAGCAGGTGAAGACAAGAGCACAAGAAAAAAGGATCATCTTATTCTGATGGAAGAAAAGTTTATCCCCCTTCCAACCCAACAAACTCGAAAGATCAATTAATAATAGTTGCTTAATTTGGTCATGATGCTGTTCTTTTTTTTTTTGCAGGTAATATGGTGTACAAATGGTGCAGTGTGTGTCAGGTTCAAAAGGGAAAGAGAAAAGAACAGAGCTTTCTTCAAGTACAGGGTAGTATTAGTATTTATCTCAGTCCTTCTGGTGATTGTTTTTTGGGGGATTAAACATATGGGGTGCAATGCAAGTACAATGTGTAGTGCAATCATCAATTGATAAAACAAAAGTAAAAAGTAAAAAAAAAATACAACACATGTTGTTGAGAACTTGAAATGCAAGCCCAGATGCATCCACCCTTTGGCAAGAGTGGAAGGTCATTAGCATCAACAATATTTTTCACAAGAAAAAATTAGCATCAACAATTTGCAAGGGGCACCAGACAGAGACTCATCATTTGGCAAGAACAGATGTCAGTCATTAGCTTGGCATCATGTAAGAAAATGGCCATGATGTGCCCTGATAATGATGTGTTCTGTCATAAAAAAATTAGTGGAGTGCCCTGATAATGACATGGTCCTGTGTTTGCAAGGTGCCATATTGTTTTCATTCAAAACCAATGGAAAAACACTCATCCAAGTTTCCAGAATAGCAGCACATTTGCAGAATGAACCAAAACAAAGTTCCTTTGTACTAGAGTGAAAGAAGAAGCACCAGGCAGATTGCACCAGAAGTTTTTATTTTCACTCTACACAATCACATTTTCGACATAAATCACGAAGCATGACTGCTAGAGATTTTTCAGGGAGGACAGGGCGATGAACAAGGAACCATATCACCATCAGTTACAATTGTCTTTCTTCCAAGCAAAAGAATTTAACAACACATTAACAGAGCTGCTAGTACACTCCCTCTACCACTATGTCAACATCATCATAATCATCATGCATCAAAGGGGCAGAGCACCGGATTAACAGTGTCACTGAGACATGAACAAGAAAGAAAAAACAAGAAAAATAGAAGAACAAATCATACCCTCTCACAAGCACAACGCACCACAACAATGGCAGCAAGAAATCTTTCCAACCAACCAACCATGAAATGTATCAATCATACCCTCCCCCTGGACTCGCCGGAGTCGGCGACGGCGCTCATGCCCTCGCCCTTCTCGCCGATCCTCTTCTCGTCCTCCATGCCCTTGAGATGCCCGGCGGCCTTGAGCGCCCCGACGTTGCTGACATTGCCGAAGATGAGCACGATGATGCCGAGGAAGCTGCCCAGGAATGCAGCAGCGAAGGACCCTCCCGCGCGCCCAGGGCCGGCAGACGCGACGGCGAAGCCGATCATGGCGCCCATGCAGCGGACGTACGCGTACCAGATGGCGAACGCGCCCTCCTTGCCCGGCGGCGAGGCGTCGAGCAGCAGGATGCGGCCGAAGGAGTAGAGGATGCCGTTGGCGGTGCTCTGGACGAGGGCGATGATGATGATGTGGGCGGCCCTCCACCTGTGGCTCTTGAAGTAGAACCCGGCGCCGGAGACGAAGAGGGCGATGATGAACCCCAGCAGCTGCATGCGGACGGCGTCGGCGCGGATGATGATCTGGATCGGGTGGAGCAGCGGCAGCGAGATGAGCGGGAACAGGAAGTAGAGGATCCACAGCGCGAGCACCAGGACCGGCTTGATGCAGACGCCGCCAATGGCGTAGAGCGTGCCACTGGTGAAGATGCACATTGTGGCGAAGGATGACAGGAACACAGCCACCAAGCTTCCGATGGCCTGTGGGTAGCGGCCAATGGTCATGCTGTACTTGAGCTTGCTGAAGAAGTTTGGCTCGAATGCGGTGGTGGGCGACGAGCTGCTGGGCCTGTTCGTGAAGAGGCCATGGCAGATGCCGATGAACCAGATGAGGCCACTGAAGATGGAGACGACCCAGAGGCCGGTGAGCTGGTCAGTGCGCCTCAGCATGTGGTACATGAACGCAGCCATGAGCGCCGCCCCGATGCCGCCGATGGCGGTGCAGTAGAGGCTGAGCTGGCTGGCAGCAGCGCGGCGGCGCAGGACAAGGTGCTTGCCCGAGTCATGGGCGGCAAGGCCGCGGATCATCAGCCCGAGGTTGCGGGTGTGCACCGCCTCGGCGATGATGATGGACGCGGCGATGAAGAGGATGTAGAACAGGAACACCCAGACCGTCTTGAAGAAGCCGGTGAGCAGGCAGAAGAAGGAGCCGAACGACGTCGCGGCGATGAGGATGAGCGACTGGTACTGGCCCCGGTCGAGGTGGTGCGCGACCTGGGTGAGGAGCGGCGCCACGAGGAGGATGCCGATCGCCCACGAGAGGGCGCTCCAGCCCAGGGGCGACATGTGGGAGCTAGAGATGGCAATGGTGTACTTGGTCAGCCTCTGGTACCTGGCCACATTTCACAAACTTGGTGTGAGCATTTTGATGACATGAACATGCAGTACAAGCAAAGATGGCATGACTGAACCTTGCATAGTAAAAACTTGCAAGTATATAAGAACAACAATGCTGGGAAGGTAAAACAAGCACATTTCAGCCTAGTTAAAACTGAAATTTACAGTATGTACAATTCTCATTCATGGGTAGATGCAATGCAAGATGAACTCATTACACAATTGTGGGTTGGGGTGTCAATGTTGACACATTTATGTATCAACAACATCTTGTTTGCCCCCATCAAGGGGCAGTTAGTTGGCCCTATGCAATTCAACCATCTACACCCACCTACCAATTGGCTGGACCTGCAGTTAGCCAGCCATGAACCATCAATTTTTCTAGGTTAAAAGCAAAGAGCTTGTGCATAATTACAAGGGTTATCACCACCCTCTTTTGCTGTTCAAAAGAAAAGGG